GAGGTGGGCTAGGGAGTTTTTTTTAAAGCGAAGCCCATACACTGGCTGCTCATAGGGGATGCTAGGTTATGGAAGTGGGTATTGGCGGAACGGTAGGCATAAGTCCTAGGAGGTTTGTTATAGCAATAAAGGTGATTAGGGATGTTAGTATTAAGGATCAGGTTTGTCCTTTAGCGTTGTGAGTTATTATTATTTGTTTTAGGGTGAATCGAGTTAGGTCTTGTTGGATGGTAGCTAGTCGATTATTAATGGGGTGCTTGGGGGTTAAGATTAGTAGGGTAGGGAATAGGATAATGGGGATTGTAGCGGGTTGATTTAAAATTGTTGGGGTTGAGAAAGGGGTAAACAAGTTTTCGTTCATTTTGGTTGTCAGCGGATATTGTGGGATTGAAGGGTGGGGTTTTTTGTAAGAGGTGGTTGGTAGTGGTTCGTGTTTAGTAGCTTTAGCTGTATGATAAGATATAGTGTAGGGAGCATCGCCATAATAGTGGTGAATCATGTCGATGTGTCTAACTGGGGCATTTCACTGCAGGGGGTGTGCCCCCATCTTTAACTTAAAAGGTTAATGCTAGGATAGCTATACAGTGAGTTTGTAGAGTGTTTTGAGAGTTTATGGGGTGGGTCCTATGCCAAGGCAAACATGGAGGGGGGGAAAAATGGTTGGGCGCAGTGGCTCACACCTGTAATCCCAGCACTTTGGGAGGCCAAGGCGGGCGGATCACCTGAGGTCAGGAGTTCGAGACCAGCCCAATCAACATGGAGAATCCCCATCTCTACTAAAAATACAAAATTAGCTGGGCGTGGTGGCGCATGCCTGTAATCCCAACTACTTGGGATGCTGAGGCAGGAGAATCACTCGAACCCAGAGGGCAGAGGTTGCAGTGAGCTGAGATCGCGCCACTGCACTCCAGTTTGGGAACAGAGCAAGATTTCGTCTCAAAAAAAATGAAACAAAACAAAAAACAAAAGGGCAACTGCACTTAGTCCTTAACGGCATCCATCACTGGCCATGTCAGTTTCGGACACAGGAAGGAGACGCCCGCCTGTCACCGCTCTTCCTTTCACACGGAGGCGGCACGGTCTCCCCATGACCACCATGAGCGGCCCAGAAGCACGGCTGGAGTGGAGAAGGCAAGGCCTGCAGGGCCAGGTGAGGCAGTGCCTTCCTGCAGGGTGGCAGAGGAGGACTTACTCAGATCTCCAAAGCTTAACGATGAAGCAGGAGCCATTCTTGCCGAAAGGGAGGTGCAGGGGGGTCTGGGAAGCAGCGCTGCACAACGCTGGGCTCTGAAGGGACTGGTGGAAAGCTCCTGCCTCATCTTGTTTTACAGGTGTGGACACCAACTGAGGTCTGGGGATTCTCAATGACCTGGGTCACAGGGCCCAGTGGGGTCAGAATCCAGGATGAGGTCCCATGAGATCCCCAAACTTGATTCTAAAAGCAGGGATGTCTAGAAATTGGGTCCTAGAGAAATCCGACAGCACCCTGACCTTGCCCCTGGTCCGAGCACAAGAAGGCCTGGGAGTCTCTTCCCCACGGGCCTCCTCATGAGCGGTTCTTTCCTCGCTGGCCTGAGTCTGGAAATGCAGGTTTAGGACACGATGGAGCTTCTGCCTGCACGACTCCCTCAGGCTGCCTGTGCATTGGGTCTCCTCTGGCGACCATGGCAGATATGACCAGAGATCAGATGACCAGCACGAGCAGGCTCCCTGTCCTCAGGGCCACCAGCTGGTAGCAAAGCTCATTTAAGGCAGGGCCGGGGTCACTCCCAGCACTCATTGCAATTACAGGGACAAGGGTCAGAAACTTCCCATGCAGGGAGGCTGGAGAACACATTCCTCTGGGAAATTGGAAGTGTGTTCAGAACAAAAGGAGGGCAATAGTGGGGAAGATGGGAGTGAGGTAGGGACGGGCAGGGAGGGGGACAGAAGAGTCCAGGGAAGGAGAAGAAGAGCAGAGGTGGGAAGAAGAAAGAACTCATACCTACCCATGGCTCACAGCCTGGTGCATCTGAATCCACTTGCTCACTAAGCAAAGAGCAGAGTTGGAGCTGCCTTCCTGAGACAGGTGAGAAAGGATGGGGCGGGGACACAGAGCCCCCATGGCAGGTGGGGGCTGGACACCTAAACACACAGTAGAGGGTGATGGGTCTGTGTGCACTGGGTCAGTGTGGAGCGCAGTGGTGCAACTGGTGCGGCCTGGGTGTGGGTTGGGGCACTGAGCCCCGACGAGGCCAAGACACAACGGTGTTTCACAGGAGACACAGGAAGGGGAGGGCTGCCCAGGGAGGAGAGTCGCACAGTGGATGGCATGGTTCTGCTTTCGGTGCAGGTGACTGCGAGAAGGAAGCCCGGCCCCAGCCTCTCTGACCAGCTCTCGCACACAGCCCTCACGTTCTCACTCGCACAGGTGCCTGCGGGGTTGGGGACGAGCGTGCAGCCCGTCGTCAGGCTCTAGTCAGCCTGGTCGAGGCGCACTCCAGAGTGATATGAAGGCGGGTTCCGAGCTGTGGGGTCCGGGGGGGCTGTGCTCAGCTGAGGAGTGAGGACGCCAGTGATGCAATAGGTGGCTGCTCCTCAGAGTGGATGTGGTGGCGGGTGGCGGACACACAGAGACCCCTGAATTCATTGCTCTTGTGTCTCAGGCTAGGACACTACGTGCTTGCCAAGTGGGGGGCTCTTCTCACCGCATCCACAGACACCCAAGGCTGCCTCGTCTTCCAGCCTGAGAGGCTGCGCTGCGCCCAGCTTCCAGCAGAGGGCAGTGCCCCCCAGGCCAAGTCTGAGCGGCTCATCCAGGTTCCTGCACTGCAGCCAGGGAGAGCGGCAGGGCTCATGGTGCACAGCAGAGTTCGGGCAGCTGGCCCAGGTGGGGGGAACAAGCTCCTCTGCGCTAATCACTGTGTGGGGGTAATGAGGAGAGGGTTCTCTCTTAGCCCCATTCGGGCTGCTTGTTCTGCTCGGCTTTTGGCCCCAGGTCACTCCTGCTCATCCCATAAGGGCTGCTTTACAGTGCTTAACAGGGGAAAACCTACAGTTCCCTCCAGACTGCGTGCGTCAAGGTCCTCTCCAAACAGTTCAGCAGGCTAGTTTAGGGCTCCTCATTAGAATAATGTAGGGCTGGCCTTCCATGCAAGGCAGTGGCCCCTGACATTTCTTCATGCCATGTGCAGAAAACGTATGTGTACACACACACACACACACCCTTTCTCTCTTCCCCCATAGTTCTCTCAAATGTGCACACTCAGTCTTGCACACAATTCCAGGGGCTTCTCAAGACCCTGTGAGAAACTTTAACACAATATACTTAACCAAACTGACCCTGATACTTAGTCTGTGCCAGAGACTGCGCTAAGCACTTCACACGGCCTGTGACATCTAAGGCAACATGGACGACCCTGGGAATCTTCTCCACTAGAATTTAACAATAGTAGTAACAGTTGTTACTATGTTAGAGTTCACTACCCAGGGTCACACTGTTTGGGATTCTACCGTCACTCTTCTTCAGGAATGCTCTGAAAATGCAGTGCCCCTGCATGGCTAACACTGTAAGTCTCCAACACTTAGCATGGTGACGGACTGGACAACAGGAGAGCACCAAGACACCCAGGAAAAGCAGCAGCTCAGAGTAAAAATCAAATGGAATGCTAGAGAAAGCGGCAGCCACCCATAAAAATAATTTCCATCCTTTCCCATTTATAGATGAGAAAATGAAAGGCCAGAGGATTAAATACAGACAGAATTTATGTTCCTAATACTGATGCCAAGGACAGGAAGACCTTGACTAGTCTCGGGAGGATGCCCTGCCTGAAGCACCAGCCTTTCTGCAGTGGTGAGTGACTGGCACAGGGTAAAACACTACAGTAATGATTTCCACTGCACTGTCCCCTTTCTAGGGGCTGAATCCCACTATCATACCTGCCCTTAGAAGAAGTCACAAGAAGTGCTTAGCAGGTGACTGGCTCAATTAATAGTCACTACTGAAAGTAAACACTCTCTGGTTTGACTGTTTTCTTCTCTGGGGAATGAAGGGTAAACCCAGACAGTGGTTCTCAGGTTCCTGGACCATCAGCATCACCTGGGAACTTGTCAGAAATGCCAAAACTCTGGGAGGGGCCTCCAGTAAACAGCACTGTAACCAGCCCTCCAGGTGATCACCAGGTACATGCTCAAGTCTGACAGATGCTGCTCTTAAAGTTTCGAAAAGTATGGCTGGACGAACATTGGTCTAGAAATGCTCTATGTCAAGGACATTAGAGAGAAATGCACAGTTTGGTTCCTTCAGCAGTTTCTTGATACATATCGGCACAGTAAGGGCTCCGAGAAGTTCCGTAAAGAAACCTGTTTGACTTGATCTAGACCTGTGCTGCCCAAGTTTATCCAATTGCAGGATCTCTGGATTATAGAACAGCTGTGCATCCCTGTGGGTGTTGAGAAATGCTTGTCTGGAAGGCCCCCTGCAGTGGTAGCATTTGGCGGATCTAAGAGGCTGGGCTGTGCCATTTGCATGCTTTGAGCGGGAAGATAGACCGCCAAACCCGCTAGTGCTCTGATGTCTCATTCACATGGAGCAGCTAGATTTTCTCTTACCTTCCCTTGCGCAGGTGCTGTACCTGAATGCAGGTTTCCCCTGCACCACATTCAGAAGTCAGCTATCCCTCTTTGAACAAAAGTTAACGACAGTAGCTTGGGCAGGGTGCAGTGGCTCACACCTATAAACCCAGCACTTTCGGAGGCCGAGGCGGGTAGATCATGAAGTCAAGAGATAGAGACCATCCTGGCTAACATGGTGAAAACCTGTCTCTACTAAAAATACAAAAAATTAGCTGGGCACGGTGGTGCTCGCCTGTAGTCCCAGCTACTCGGGAGGCTGGGGCAGGAGGATTGCATGAACCTGGGAGGTGGAGGTTGCAGTGAGCTGAGATCGCGCCACTGCACTCTAGCCTGGCAACAGAGCGAGACTCCATCTCAACAAAAGACAAAACAAAACAAAACCCACAGTAGCTTGAAGAAGTTGTTTTATGTACACGACAGGAATGTTATCTCAAACTAATGGGTTAATGTTTTGAAGACATGGATATTCTCAGGCAGGTTTCCATGACTCTCCCCAGAATGGAGCCCTGAAGTCCCCTGGAGGGCTCGTTCCCAACACGGAGCAACTGCAGGGAACCACTCACACAGTGACTAACTGCCATCAACTCCGCCCCGCCCACTCCAGACCTCAGGACCCACTTTTGGGTGGCACCACCAAATAAAGCACGTTAGGCCGTGACAGCAAGCTCTGTCAGAGGATGCCAGGCGAAGAGAGGCCGCCAAGCCCAGCATAAGCTGGTCCAACAAACTCCAAACTCATCGACCAGGCTAGAGGGATGATGTGCAATACAAAAAGATTGTCTTCCTTATCTCACAGGGCTGACTGCAAGATAATGGCAACCCTCACCTCTATTTCTAGTAAAGCACTCACCAAAACTGGAAGAACACTTTTTAGGAATTTCGCTGCTGCATGAAATCAGGCCCTCTTGTAAAGGAACCACTCCTCCTCTCCCAGCCCCCAGAATCGGCAGCCTATACTCTTTCTCAGCAGACTCAGAGGCATGAAAATGCCATGAGCATTCTTCACTACCTGTCTGGCACCTAATACTCCTTGCCTAGGGCAATTAAGTCGCTATGATCTAGGCAGAATGTCAAGATTTGTATGACTTGGTCCTTGGCTAAGGCTGCCATCTCACCTGCCTCAACAGCTGGAAAGAGGTGAGCAACAAAGTCCTGGCTGGAGGAGGCCATGCTCCCCGCTGGCCTGTGCCCTTGCAGGATCTTCCAGTCATGATGGCAGGTGCTACTGAGGTCCGAGCCCAGGCAGGGACAAGGTCTAGACCACAAGGACAAGGTCCTAGGACTCGCAGTACATCCTGGTAAGCCCGATCAAAGCCGGGTTTAATTAAACAAAAGCCTCCAGGGAGAATTTTCTCTCCTGGGCTCTTAGACTCTTTTCCTGTCTGTCCTAAGCACAAGCTAGGCTCTGCTTCCAAACAGGCATGTGAAATGTGCCCAGACATCTCAGAAGTTCACTTGAGATGCCACTTGGGTTAAAGGCACCCAAGCGTGTAACACCCTGTGTCAGGTTAAGTCCACAGTGGTTGCTTGTCATCCATATTTAATTCTGTCAGTCTGTTAATTTTTAACTATGTTTGCTATCAAGGGCCATTAGAGGTCCCCAGGAGCTGAGCTCAGTGAAGCGCATAGAACTTCGTGGCAGAACGCACAAAGCTTGAAGTTGGGGCGCCCCACTTTGCCATCCTGTCGCTGGGTCTGGCCTTCCCCACCGGCAGCACAAATCCTGAATAAAACATGATTCCATTTGGAGTTGATTTTCCTTTTCCCCTACTGTCACAATTGGTTTTCTTCACAGAAAAGTTCACTTTCCCCTTTTATGAAGGCTACATTTTATAATTCCAAAGTTTCTCTGCAGCCCTGGTTTTGTTTCCAAAGCAGTTAGAGTTCACATACTTTCCGGATGGCATCCAGGTACCTATGCCTATAGAAGGAAGACAAAAACCTTGGGTACACAGCCAGCTGACCCAACCAGAGAGCCTCGTCTCGGTATACGCCACAGCCACGGACCATTCTTGCCCTGGCTCCAGTGCTTCTCTTCTTTACCAAAGTAAAAACCCCGGGCCCTTAGGTTTCTCTTATCGGGGTCCTGGTCAGGAGTCCCTGTGTCCTAAGTGCTTCTCAAGCTTACAGGGAGGGCTCAGGAGCCTCTGGGCCACACCAGATCAAATCCTGACAAACGGAAGGCATTGGAAGAGCTATTTTAATCATAACTATGACTTTAAGCCAAACATGTTACTGTTTCCTGCAAAATAAACCCATGGAGATGTTCATTCTTCCCATTTATAGATGATGAAACTAAGTCTCAGTGCAGTTAAAACCAACTTGCCTAGAATCCCAAATTTAGTAGAGTGGGTAGAAACTGTCATTAAAATCTGGTTTGATTTAAAAAACTGAGTCCCAGTTAGGTGCCAGGCCCTCAGCAACACCTGACTGTGACAGTTGGGCCACACGGCTGTTAATCCCAGGGAACAGCCGAGTGCAGACGGCACTTCCAGGTGCAACTTGTTGGGACTCAGGGTTGGGCTCTTACTGCTAATAAAGACAGGGGAGGAGGTGTGCAGGATCTGGGGAGTTTAACCTTCTGCAAAGGACAACATGGAACACACCTAGAAACCTGGAAAACAGTGTACCAAATGGAGAGTACTGGAGTAACGGAGAGTACTGGAGTAATGGAGAGCAATGCTGCCCCCAGTCAGGAGGCGGCCCATGTTGAGATGTTCTGCCCATCCTGATTAATACTGTGATTTCTAGGGAAGTCTCCTTGGGGTGAGTGACCCTGGCCAAAGTCACACAGCCATATACTAGGGGACTGACTCTGGTTTCTGAACAGCATTTCCTTCTAAAACTGCCCAACATGAAGAGGCCTGGGCCTCAGTCGCAGCAGCTCTGGACAAAAGCACACCTCTCCCTAACACCCTGGATGGATGCTTTTGGAGGACTGCTTCTAAAGAGGCCAGCTGGGGTGGAGGACAAAATGCTGATGTCTGTCTCACTGCAAATGAGGGAAGAGGCGGAGAGGGTCACCAGGGAGAGAGCATCTGCCTGGCCGGGGGTGGATTCTCGGCTTTCATGGCAGAACTGTGAAGAGAACAATCTCCCCAAGTACAAGATGTAACTCAATTGCCTGGAAATGAGGCCAAGGAGAATCCTAGCAAAAGGACTGTGGGAAGAAAGTGCCAGAAAGTCCAGGGAGGAATGGGCTGGGTGACCTGTGGTTCTTTCTCCAGTTTCTCCGATAGGAAAGTAAGATAAGGCCACAGCTGGAAAGGTCAGGGACAGCGGGTTTGTGTAAAGTAACTTGCGAGGGCAAGGGCCATTCCGTCTCTGGGGTTTCAGCTGCCCAGCCCCCTCCACCCCGGATGTATTTCCTGTCAGAAGGGTGTGCTGGTGGCCGTGTCCGGCCTGGTTTGGGGAGGCCCTTCTTGGGGATAAGCTCTCCCAGTGCTGGCAAAAGCTGTGGAGATCACACTGCCAGGAGCAGGGCAGGTGCTGTCAGTCGGTGCTGTGGGTGGCGCTCCCACTGCAATGCCTCATCTTACTCCCGTCATTCCTTCATGCTTTCCAGTCTTCCATTTGGCTCCAGCTGTGAGGCCTCTGCAGCCCCCGTTGGCATCATCCACATGTGCTGACCATCCTGTCTTAACTGTCACTGCCTTGTGGGTAGCTAAGGCTTAGTCTGGGCTTCCTTCTCCTTACTGAAAATTCAAGTGCCCCTTAAAAGATCCCTGGGAAGGGCTACCTTTAAAGCAAACATTTATGAAGCCCTTCTAATATGCCGGGCACTCTCTTAAGTGTTTACATGAAGGATTATTGGCCCTTTTCCTGAAGCCCAGAGAAGTTAAGAAATTTGCTCAACTGAGGTCGCACAGCGTGTAAATGGCAGAGCTCGTGTCTGGCCAGGGAGTTCCAGAGCCTGTCCTTTCGACCCTACATTCCTGCCACGAGCTGAGAAAGGAAATGAAGCCCCGCAGAGCTCTCCTGAAAGGCACAGCTCAGAGCACAGGCCCTGCATCAGGAGGCAGGCATAGAAATCGCCCCAGGAAGGGCCTGGGAAAGGAGACCCAGCCCACTCTCACAGGAGGCTGGGGCTGTGAGCATGAGGCCTGGCCTCCCCCTCCTCCCCTCCTCCTGTGAGAGCTAAGCCAGGTGCTCCTAGAAAGCCTCACCAAACAGGAAACCAGGCCAGGCTGGCACTATCAGGAGACGGAGCGCTAGAGGGGTGGCTTCTCACAGTCTGACCTTCACAGAGCTGCAGGTTGAGAGGGAAAGGTAAATGTCAGAGGATTAACAGTTTCATTTATGTCTGAAAACAATGGAAGGCCTTGGGCAGAACAGCCCCAAAGGCAAGCTCTGCAGTCCTTCAAAGCCGTGGTGTCACAGCCACAGCCACCGCCACAGCTCTGGAGTAGACAGTATGTATCTGAGGAAGCCCAGGCCTCAAGGACCAGGCAGTCAGGGGTCAAGTGCTAAAGTGACCTGAGATTCACAGAAGCAAGCACCAGGAATCTCCGGACTCCTGCCTTACTTTGGGGAGGCAGGACTGCCAGGTGAGGTGTTGAAGCCATCTTCCTGGGGCCCCAGACATGGCTCTGTTCACAGGTTTCCCTGTGGGACCAACGACCCTTACAGCACTGGCCACTGTACAGGAGGTGGAAGCCAAAACCATCAGAGTCCTTGCCCTGTGAGCCGCCCATGCACCTGGAGGGGATCCACAGCTGTCTCGCTGCTGGGAGACTCCTAAGGAGCCGCGTGCACACTGAGGTCCATACGCAGCACTGCCCTCGAGACACCCCCCAATACCCTATGTATTCAAAACATACCTGACACCAAAGCGGAAGCCCTCGTGTCTTTTGCCTCAGTGTTTCCTACAGGGCACAGTGATGCAGATGCTTCACACAATTTGCTTTTCTTAAAATCTAGTTTTCGGAAGTCCCACCCTGCTGATGAGCAAATGCTCAGATACAGGGGTGGTGGGGACAGCCCTGCAGTTTGGGCAGTCCGCCCACTATTCCCAGGCCCATCTACTCCTCTGAGTTCCCTTCCTGGTTAGCCTATGTCTCTCTTCCCATGGTCCACTTCTGTATTTATTTTGGGTTTAACCTTTAAAATTTTTCCAGTGTGTCACAGGGCCATCCCAAGGGACATGCATGCCTTGTCCTCAGGCAGTCTGTGTTATAATTTTAAAACCTTTGGTTTATGTCCAGGTAAGCCGTACAGCAGCCCTATTAGAAATCCGAGAGAACTGCTGTTAACCCTGGACAAATGAGGCCTCTGAAGAGGAATCAGGTAACCAGGACTTTCTCTCTCAGTCCTACTTACCTACAGAAGCTTCTGGCCGCACACTGCGACTCTGCCTGAAGTAGAGGGTGCATGGTGGTGTGTTTTGAGAATGTGGTAAGGACAGTATCCTTTACCAACTTGCTCTCTGCCCCATCACAAGACAGAAAGCAAAACATGAGCTCAAACCTAAGAAGCGCAAGTGTGTGAATGTGAGGTGACAGAACAGCTGTGTGCTCTCTTCAGTGTATAAGCTTTTTGAAAGCAACAGATGAAAGCTTCCTCTCCTAATTAATACATTTCAAATACCAATGACCTTGAAAGTAAACTGGATGATCACTTTTAAAAATGTTAACGATCTTCTTAGCAATCCAACGTCTGCTGCACAAGGTCGCTCTTTCATCTCTAAACATTAAGTCAGTACTGAGGCTTTCAGTCCTATTACCTTATCCAATAATTTCTAAAAAACGGGATCTGACGGCAAATAAGTTTCCTTACTTTAGAGATGGGAAATCTGAACGGGTACCAGACCACAGCTGAAGCCGGGGCAGAGCTAGAAATGTGACTCAACTTCTTTTCAATGACACTTTGTCTCCTGGTCTTCCTTCCTGTGGATCCCAGTGGGCAGACTGGACACTGCACCCGTACATTTCACAAGGGCTCCCCTAGCTAGATGCAGCATCCCTGCTGAAGTGAGGTCTCCTGGTGGATGAGATGCTTCCAACATGCAGCTCTTGGTGGCTCTTCCGGGAGCCCAGGCAGAGAGAAGCAGCAGTGGTGTGACCTCGGCTCCGGGACCTGGCCTCTCCAGCAAGCTCGTTCTGAGTCCTTCTATGTAAAATAGACTTGGTGTCACAGGCCCAATTCTCCCAAAACCTCAGTCAGAGAGTAACACCTTTGCTCCAACATTGCATCACCATGAAAACAAAACGCTGCAGTCTACTTGAGATCATTTTTGCTCTGATTAAAATTTTTATTGAAATCTCTCAAAGGTCGTCAAGAAATAGTTTTTGCGAAAGGGGGGAAAGATAGCTAACAAATTCAACATGGGAGCTCCCTCTGCTGGTCTGCAGTAGGTTGGTATGTTACAAACACATTCCCAGAGACAAATCTAATTTGCTGGAGAAGTGGACAAAAGACAGGTGTGTTGGGCTTTGCCTCAGGAGAGAAACACTAGAAGAAAAAAAAAATCCATGTCTCAAAATAGAGCATAACATTGCTAAGAAAAACAAAATTATTTAAAGCCTCTCCAAAGACATTATAAGATTTCCAAAACAAAAACTGAATTATCCAATATGGGGAGATGCCCCGTAAAGGCTCCAGTCTGCTCTACCTCCAGTTAATAAAGATTCTCTTGGGCCCTTTGGGTGAAGGTTAAGTGCTGATTCCCTTTGCTTTGCCTCCAAGTCTCTTCTTACAGGCTTCCCATCTACTTAGAGAAGAAAGATCCAAGGAGTCACTGGAGTGAGGCCTTTCCAAAATTCCATTAAAGAATAAGTCTGTGGTGAGCCAACACCTCGGAGTGGAAAGAGTCAGGCCTGGGAGGCAGGTGACCTGGGTCTAGTCATGGCAGAGCCACAGATTGTGGGCAGCTCCCTCCATCTTCTCAGGCCTGTTTCCTCATCTGTCAAATGGGTCAGACCAGCTGATCTGTAGAGCCTCTACTAGCTCATTCTGATTCTCATACTGCACAAATAAATTTAAATAACGGAATGTGTTCACAGAGTCCATGCCTGCACTGGGAATGACTCCAAACAAGAAGTGGCGTTGAAAACTGGTATCAGATGAGAGTCCCACCAAATCTGGGACCGATGTGGCAGAGCTAAGTGGATTCCAGTTTGGGAAAGTCTCAAGATCAAGAACTCCCAGGGGAGGGTGCCACCATGGGCAATACAACCCATTAAGTCAAATGGCTGAGTCCATCTAATCTTGGCACTGTCTCTCCCCATCCTTCCTTACAATGGCATGTGCTTTCTAATCTCTTGAGACTCTTTAGGCCCTTCTCTTACCATACCGTATCTCCAGAATTACTTCTGATTTTACCCATTACATGAATGAAGAATGGGCAGATGTCATATCCAAAAGCCACCATTCCCAGTACTTTCTGGCCGTTGTCAACTCTTGATATGGCTATTCAGAAGACTATGCAAACCACTGTTTCACGGTATTTATTAACATTTGCCTTAACTGCCACGTGATCTGTACCCGGCAGTCTAGCAAGAGGAGACACCATCCAGAGCAGGGGTGGGAGGTGGCAAGCAAAAGGGGCTCTTAGTTGTCCCATGTCATCCACACATTTATCTGCAGCCTGCTACAAAGATCCTAATGACTCAGCAGAGAAACCCACAGGTTTACATTTTATCCCCTCACCCCGTTACCTGCCAGTTGTGAGGGTTCTCAAGCATTGACATGGAAAAAGGAAGAAAAAGCAGCAGGGGAAGGAGAAGCCAAAGGCACAAGTAATCCTGGCTCCTTTATTTTCTGTGCCATGTACTCTCACCACCACCACCACCTACATTTTTTTCTTCACTACTTGTACTACTTTCTCCCTTCTTCTCCCAACACAGAGGGCAATCATTACTGGGGCTCAGGCACCAAAGGCAGCCCAGGAAGCCGGGTCGTCAATGCACGCACAATGTGTTGGTAACTCAGCGAAAAGAATTAAAAGATGTTCAGCCAACAACAATCTTGACCCCATGACTTTCGAGAACCCTCACCGAGGGCTGCTTCTAGGTGGTCTTTATCAAGACAGTGAATTCTGTACAACATAAAAGAGTTTTAAGTCAGAAGGAAGTTTTCTGGGAAGCTGTTTATTTCATCCAGCCTTGAAAACAAACACTGAGCAAAACAAGCAAATGAAAACTCTGCCTGTCCAGCCTAATCATTTTTGAAAATCTAAAATTTAAAGGCTGAATTACACATGCAGAAAGATAAATGAAACCTACATACGTACTTTCTATTTGTTACTGGTCATCAATCTTTGCAGGCCAAAGAATGAGTGATCTCCAAAGGTGAATCTTTACACTGATTACTACTACTTGCGCTAAAAGCACAGCTAAGAGAATATTTTCTCCAAGGGGAGAGGAAGTGTTAGTATGTAGATAGTAACCTTTGTGGAGAAACAGGAAGTTTGTTTATAAAAATCAGGCTATTTTTAACTAAGAAAGCAAGCTGGTCAGAATAGAGATCTCTACCTTGACCTGTAATTCCATCTTAGACACTATCCTGTACCTCCTTTTCTACAGGGTTTCCTGAAAAATGGAGAAAAGGAACCCTTAATCTTTCCTGTAACATATTTAAGAAAGTATAGCCTTCGCCCATGGAAGCTTTCCCTTTGGTCAGAGATTCTTCTCACAGTACACGAGAGTGGAAAACTCTCAACACACAGAAACACGCACAGACGCACATATCCCCTGCTCCCCGCACACACCTTCCTCTGTAGCCCTTCCACACAAGGCACACACGTGTACGCTCCGGTGATGCCCTCTAGCTAGCTGGGAGCCAAGTGGATAAACTTGCCCCAGTCTCTCATGTGCGATATGAGGTGAGATCATTAAGGAAGAGAGAGGTGTCATTTGGGGCAAACATCAGGCAGTGGGTGATATCATTGCTGTCAGACGATCCTCGTAAGTCCTGAAGGAGTGTCAGCTTGATTTAGAGGGGATCATTAATCTCTTGAAGGTGGATCTGTTAGCTGGATAGGTGTTAGTTGTATGGTGTGCTCTGGGGAACCAAGTTTGAAAGGACTGGAGGTGGAGTGAGTGAAGTCGTGGCCGATGGGTATCAATTACCTGGGCATGCAGTGAAGCGGGATAGGTGAAAGCAGGAGGAGGTAGAGCAGGCGCTAACTCCGCTGGGTACAGAGGGTACGGGGCCCACACTTCAGGGCTACTGGGGTAAAGTGCAGGCACTGTGAGCTCATCTGCAAGAAAAGAATAAGGCGAGAGTTAGTGGTTACCAAACAGCTAGTTTCAAATCAGAAAACAAAACACCCAAAAACCCCGAGCCCCAATCAATGTCAGAAGCCAAATGACTCTCATTCTTTTCACAACCTGTTGTTTGTTGGCTTTGGTCCCATAAGTGCTAAGCAAGGAACGAAAAATATAACAAGAAAAGTAACAAGCATCTGCTGTCTGTCTGGCCTGCTGAGATCTCAGGCCTGGACTCCGCCTTGAACACTCTGATGTCTTTCCAACTGTAGCTGGGGAACCCAAAACAGTGGGAATTTCCTGCACAAAACAGAAAATGTGGCCCTCTGAGGAAAAGGGAGAGAAAGAACCAATGAAAGATATCCCATGAGAACCCACCGCAGAGCCTTTGGGAAAACAATGGCCTAACGGCAGGGCCTCAACAGACCAGAACTGGAAGGCTTTTCTGTTTATTGGCATAATTACTATTGACAAGTCAGTCATGATCATCAAGCATTTTCCATGTAGCCCCCAGAAGTACAGGGCCAAATACTGTGACCACAGGGCATTTAAGATCTTAAAAATTCAGAGAATTGAGGTGAAAAACCTTGAGAATCCTGATTAAAATTACACTCCACAAAGATGTAAACATTTCCAGTTGCTCTTTACAGACTAACTTTTAGGGGGAAAAAGTGAGTCATGTTGCCAAGCGCCTGGTCTAAGTGTTCCTCAGGCAGCTCCAATTCCACCCAGGTCAGGCTGCAGTTGGCCCGATTGAAGGGCAAGTGCCTGGGCCTCCTATGTATCAGGAAGCAATCCATTAAAAGTAACAGCAAACACATGAGGGAGCTTCTCAGGAAAGGCAAAAATAACATCAGTCAATAGCAAGGAATCTGGGCCCTGTGAAGCAGCAATCTCAAGATGTGCTTTTATCACCTGTCAAAATCTGAAATCAAGTATGCCAAGGACGCTATCCAGGACTGCCACGGGAGTCAGCAAAAGGTGATTTGATAGTCATTAGTAACTCTGCCATTCAGGACTTTCCCTAAGTCTACAGTGCATGTGACCCAAGGTCAACAGAGTCACTTTATTCCTTCCCACCATCTAAGGAGCCATTCCAGGCCCAGTGTCTCTGCATCCTTCCCATCCCCCAAAACTTTTCAATACGGAAAGGGGACTAGCAACAGAAAACTGCTTTGCTCGGTGTGATGTGGGACTGCTCTACGGAGAAACCAGAAAGTAGCAGAGCCTGTGGGTGAATGTGGATCTGGTGGGCAGGGGGTAGGTGAGGCTTCCCCACAGCCAGCTTGCATGGCACGAGCTTCTCTCAGGATGGTAGGGAGTCAAGAGCTGACTGCTAATGATACGTTCAGAGGGCAGTTTGTACCCATTTCCAGATATGATGGGACCCCAACAATGTGATTTAACATACTGTTGCTGGTTAGCCTTCCCGACTCCCTCCTCTCAACAAGGCAGTAAAAGCTACCTCCTCAGGACTTGGTGATGGAAAGACAGACTGCCTGTGTATCTAGGTGGGAAAAATAAGCCCCTAAGAGTAGACTGATTATTATTATTTAGTCAGGGTAACAACAACATCACTACAGTCCTTAAAATGATCAGGTCTACAGCATCTACTGTGTTCTAGGGTGTGTAGATGCCTGTAGCCCAAGGCTTAGGGACCACCCTCAGAAGGGCTGGGAGGAGCTTAATAGATCCCTGTGCTTCCTGTTGTGATGAGACTGTGATTTCCAGAGTAACTAATGTGGGAGCCCAGCTAGTGGAAACTAACTGCTACCAGAACCGATGCCTTGAATTTTAAACAAACAACCATTCTCAGGAATGCCAAGCTATTATTGTTGTTTAGCCACCAGGCTATTTTAAGACATTCTGAGTCTTTTAAATCCTCATACACTCATCTGTGGCCTATGCTTGTCTGTTCCCACTGTGATAGTGGAAGACTATAAAGCTATAAAGACTATAAAACTGATACATACAACTGATTCCAAATGACAGAGCCCTCAGGGGAACGTGTTTGGCCTGCAGCCTGTCAGTGGTCCTTCCTTATCGTCCTGGCTAACTGGGGTGGGGTGGGTAGAGGTGGTTACCTGATCAGTGGGTTCTTCCTTTAGAAACTTAAAAAAAATGAAATGAATATGTCCTTTAAGATATCTGATCCTAAAGAGATAAGCAACAGAGATAAGCTGGAATCAGATTTCAATGTCAGCCTGACTGCTGGAATTTATGATTTCCAGACCTTTCTCTATTTTTATTCTGAAGCATTACTTCCCATTAGTTCTTTACTGATGCTTAGAGACAATTCACCATTAACATTTGCACAAAACCTAGGCCAGCAGAAAAGAGGATTTGCTCTGAAATTCCCTAAACTCAAAATTGCTGAGTAATAGTAAAGTAGTGGTAAGGCAGAAGTCTAAAAAGAGATGAAGGTGAACTTACACTTGATAAATCCCTTGATACATCTTATCATCTGTTTCCCTTCTCCCCTCATGAAGGAATGTGGAGTTACCATAAACATCAAAAGATACATGGCCTGACCAGGTCAGGATCGCACCTGAAGCAGGCCTCACAAACACCTAACTTTTCAGTAGAAGCCTGAGCACTCTCCTAACACACACATACACTCCCCTTTGATGGAAGTGGGTATTAAAGCAGAATGAGCTTTTTGCATTTGTTTGCTTTTTCGTTGCTTGAGAAAATTACAAAAGCTAGAGAGACCGGTTTTCCACAGCGCAAGCCCTTCACAAGGACTCCCCACTGAAGCAGGAGGCAAGGCCCTGATGGGTTTCACCTTCCTGAGTCACTGCCCATCATCCTGCTCAAACTTTACAGGATGGAAGGCTGAAAAAAGAAGACAAAGATTGCTGCCCAAGGCCCACTGGGATGAATTGGAGTTTAGGGAGGGGGTGAGATTCCTCTTGACAAAAGAGGCTCTTGACCACCCAGAGTGAGCCAGGCCCCAGTGAGCAGAAAGAGGGCAGATCAAGAGGCCAGGGCTTTTTTGTCTGGGCCTAATCCGTCCCTCCTGAGAGGCTGGGCAAATCCTTTCCCATTGCCCCAATCTGGCTACATCTTTTCTTTTTTGCACCTTCTGAGGATAATGTTGTTGAGGGCTCACAATATACATCTGAATAGGCTTTTTTTCTTAGCATGAGAATATGCAACCAGAAGAGCTCAAATTGGATTCTGAAAAACAAGGACTAGAAACTTCCAACTCCACCCTGTAATCCCTTTGAAACCAAAGAACTGCAGAGCGTCTGATGAAGGTTTAAGCCTACAGAGCTTGGGAAGATCATCTTCTGCCTTTTCGTTTTAGATGAGGAAACAGATGCAGAAAGGTGCAGCTTCCAGTCTACGGTCACATTGAAAGAGAGAGAAACATGAATGACAACTGAGAGATGGAAGAACAAGGAGAATCTTTAATGGACTTAAGTATGGCCATATATCTCTGAGTTTAGTTGGTAACACAAGGTTTAAGAACTTTTTTGAGGCCGGGCGCGGTGGCTCATGCCTGTAATCCCAGCACTTTGGGAGGCCGAGGCGGGCAGATCACAAGATCAGGAGATCGAGACCATCCTGGCTAACACAGTGAAACCCCATCTCTACCAAAAATACAAAAAATTAGCCAGGTGTGGTGGCAGGCACCTGTAGTCCCAGCTGCTCAGGGGGCTGAGGCAGGAGAATCCCTTGAACCTGGGAGGTGGAGCTTGCAGTGAGACAAGATTGCGCCACTGCACTCCAGCCTGGGCACCGTGAGACTCTGTCTCAAAAAAAAAAAAAAAAAAGAACTTTTTTGCCTCCTGAAAACATCTATTTGGAAATATTCCACAGCAACTTCATGCTCGACATACCCAAAACTAAACATGCTCCCTCAATGACCTGTCCTCGTTGGCTCCAGATTTCAGTAAGATGCTACCTTCCACTCAGCTGCCCAAGCCACAGACCTGGTGGTCACTCTATTCTCCCCCTCATTCATTCTTTCATCAAGGTCCTGCTGAATCTATCCCATGATCCAGCTTGATCTTCACCAACACTACTGGATTACTGAAAAGGCCTCCTAAAAGCCCTCCTGGCTACCACACTCAAGTCAAGACAACTTTAAAAATACACATTTTGGCTGCATGCAGTGGCTCACACCTGTAATCCCAGTGCTTTGGGAGGCAGAGGCAGGAGGAGGAAGATCGACTGGGCCCAGGATTTGAGACAAGCCTGGGCAACTTTAGCGAGACCCCGTATCTTAAAAAAAACAAAGTATTAGCCAGGCCTGCTGGTACATACCTTTAGTTCCAACTACTCGGGAGGCTAAGGTGGGAAGTTCACTCGAACCTAGGACTTATTTGAGGTTGCAGTGAGCTGTGACTGTGCCACTGCACTTCCAGCCCAGGGCAACACAGTAAGACCCTGTCTCTTAATCTAGTCATGCCACTTCAAACCTTTCTGTGATTTCCTCTTGCTCTGTGGATACTGCCTGAACTCCATGTAATGGCCTATAAGATCCCAAATGATCTGGCCCTCATCCTCCTCTCCAGCCCTGATTCTCATCTGGTTCTCCCTCATGGTCTGGGATCAGTCACTTCCATTGCATGACTATGCCTGCCTCTCTCCCACACACTGCTCCCTCTGCCAGGGGCACTTTTCTCCCCCTCCTCCTGCCTGGCTTAACTCTTACTCATCAGTTACTTACTCCTTCCACCCAGCTTAACTCTTCACTGTGCTCTAGACGCCGCTTCCCGGGGTGGGGAGGGGCCTGGCCTCGCACTTCTAGTCTAGAAGACTGCTTTCTCTGTGCTCCACCATATCCTGCACCTCCCCAGTCACAGCAGTTACCTCCTGGACGGCAAGCTCTTATTCTTGCTTACCAATGCCTACCACCATATCATAAGACAGTATCAAGAAATCAACCATTTGGGCCAGATGCAGTGGCTTACGCCTGTAATCCCAGCACTTTGGGAGGTGGAGGTGGGTGGATCACTTGATGTCTGGAGATCGAGACCAGTTT